CAGCCGCAGGATAGGGAGCCACTCACCAGCGTCGTTGAACAAATTGTCAACGACGGGCATGGCATCCCGGGCTCCATTGCCAGCCTCCACGACCTCAGCCCACGGCGAGCCCCGGAGGCAGTCTCAAGCTAGCCGGGAAGGGTCTGCCGCAGGCGACCATCAAGATACCCCCCCATACCAAGGGTTGATCCTAGGTCGACCAGGCGATCTTCGATACTTTGGTCAGGACGCACCCATCAGTAGCCAGAGTTGCCGGTTCAGGAGCCAGATCACTAACACAGCCTAGGCCCGTCTACCACCTTTTCCTCCATCTTCCCTCGAACCAGAAACAAGGCCGAAAGGCATCCAGACGCGGCTTCTTTCGGGAGGATCACCGCCTCGCTAAGGGGTGGCACCTTTTCCAGATGGGTTCATCCCGCATTGCAGCCGCTTTTCGGCAGAACAGTCCATGAGCCGCTACCATCATGGGAGCAAGCTCTGTCACTGGTCAACGATTACTTCCACCACGAGAATCGGCACTGGCCACTCTTCGATCACCCTACTTTCATGGCCTGTCTCGGTCGCCAGTACACCGATGATCCGCCGCCTGAATCGTCATGGTGGGCCGCCCTGAACATTGTTCTCGCCACGGCCCAACGCAGAAAGGCCAGCACAGACCCAAGCAACTGGCAGGAAACCCTGAACCAGGCCTGGAAGTATGTGCAGAACGCCATGAGCGCGGTCCTTGACATTCTCTTCCACAACATCAGTCTACTCTCGGTACAGGCTCTGGTGAGCATCGGCCGCTTCTTCCTGGACACCCCCAATCCTCAGCCGACATTCATACTGTCATCCTCGGCAGTGCGTCTCGGTCAGGCCATTGGGTTGCACAAGCAAGACTGTCAGTCCACGCACGAGCGAACGGACCAGAAACAGAGGGCCCGTGTCTTTTGGTGTGCGACGATTCTGGACCAGCTGGCATGCTCCAAGACTGGAAGGCCGCCCGCGCAAAAGGCAGAGGATTATGCTGTGAGGTTACCAGAATTATCTGAAGACGGAACACTGGGCACATGTGTGTCGGTTGATGGCCAGACCGTCCTAGAAAACTTTCGACTGGACGCTCATCTCTCCACCATTGAAGCGGACAG